CCAAGGGGAAGCCCATCTTGTCTGGGTCTGGAAGGGAAGTCTGCCAACTGTCCTCCCGTGAGCTCCCTGGGGGCCTGGCTCCCCCTCCAGCCTCAGGCTGAAGCAGGGCATCCCTGCCGAAGGCCCCCAGAGTCCGACTCTCTCTGTGGGCAGGAAAACAGACTTAAAGCTCCCACCCCACCAGTCCCCCCTTCCCTTCCTCCTGCTCTGTGGGCTTGACCACAGGGTCCTCAGGAGGCTGGGCCTTGCAGGGTCACAGACAGGGAAGGGTTCTTCGAGAGACTCCCTGGCTGACAGCGTTGCTGGTTACGAACCGTGGAAACCCATCCCCATCCCACATGTGGTCCTAATAAAGCCTTTTTGTGACTCAGAAGTTAGGGTGCCTGTAGGAGAGAATATTTGTAAGTAGGTTCTAGAAAGTGCAGAGAATGTGGTTGAGAATCAGAAGGGCCAGCCTCTCTTTCTGCCCCTTCTCCTGTTGAACTGCCTCCTAACCCATTGCTCCCTGGCCCCTGTGCAGTCCTGCCCTTCCCCATCCCTGGCTTAGGTGACATACCCCGCTCCCCCTGCCCGGCCCCTCTATAGCCTGCCCTGCTTGAGGCTCTCCAACCCTGACGCCTTTGGCCTGCCCTAATCTCACCTCCCCTGAACCTTGTCTTCGGGTCTCCCAGTGCAGCTCATATCTTCTTAGTAAGACTAAACTGTTTGAGAACAAGGCCTCTTTCATATTCCCGCCCTAGCAAGGGGGACAGCAGTTTCTGAAGTAAGGACGAGGAAATACAGATTGAAGGGCAAGAGTGCTGATGGAGACAGAGTGTCTACAATCAGGGCTGCCTGGCAAAGCCCAGGCCCCCAGGAGCTCGGTTTCTGTCTGTTGCCCACTGATGCCGTGGTCAGCTGAGCCAGGCTTATGGGCTCAGGTAACTAAGGCGCCTGCAGCCTGCCTTCCTCCTCTGAGCTGGAAATTCCCTCGTCCTCTCCCCCAGACCAGATGAAGCCACCCCAGCCAGCCTGCTACAGAAGCTGGTTCTGGACAGCAGCTGCGTGTAGTCTATAAGAGTCACACGGATATGAGTTCAAATCCTGTTCCTCCCACTTTCCTGCTGGGTGACCTTTGGCAAATTGCTTAATCTCTCTGAGCCTTGGACATCTCACCAATGAAAAGGGAATCATTCCTATCTCCATAAAGCTGTCAGGAGATTATATGCAAAGCCCTCAGCACAGCAAAGCCTGGCACGTAGTAGGTGTGCAGAGAATAGTGGCTTGTCCCTCCAACTCCAGCACTATTTAGTTGTTCGCTTTCTTCTCCTGTTTTGTCTCCCCTTGGACAGAGGGAGTCCTGACCTTTGCTTGTTTTTCTGCTCTACACCCAGTGGCCATCCTAGGCCAATATGTGATGCTGAACCCTAACCTGGGGGCCTTGGCAGACTACCTTGAACTTGGTGCTAGCAAGGAGACCAGACACACTGTTCTTTTCCACCCTGTGGGTGTGTCCCAAGGCTGCCGTGCTTGTGCCCACTGCCGTGCAAAGTGATCCCTGTCCCCTGAGCTGCCTCACTGGCCTCACCTCTGGTGTTCAGGAGGCAGGGCTGACAAAGCCAGGCCTTGGGTGCGCAGCCAGGCTGGAGCCTGTCAGGGAGCTGCCCGAGTGCAGTTCCAGGGGCCGGGGGCCTGGGCCTCCCAGGGAGCCGCGTTTCTTAGCTGTGACTCCAGCCCCAGCCTGGTGCTGACTTCAGTGTGTGCAGATGAGTGTGCCAGGGCCCCAGGGATGGACCGGACCAGGGGACTTGGGGCGGCAGGGCCAACCTCACCTTTATTTTTAATGGGGGAATGAGGGAGTAAAATGGAATGACTTAGTTTTTATTATCCTTATTTAGTATCAGAAAAGACGAAACTATCTCATTGCTGAACCCTGTTTCCATCACAGCCTCAGAACTGTTCAACTGTTCTCGTACCTTAGGCCAACTTTTCCACCTTCCTTTGTGCAGATCCTTTAGTGGGGTCTGGGGAACTATTTCAGTTTTTTAAAAATAGGATAATGCCTTCGTTTTATCATAGTTCTTTTTTTAGGTTTTACTTATTTATTTTTAGAGAGAGGGGAAGGGAGGGAGAAAGAGAGGGAGAGAAGCATCAGTGTGAGAGAGAAACATGCCCCTTGCATGTGCCCCGACCAGGGACCGCACCCACATCCCCGGCGTGGGCCCTGACTGGGAACTGGAGCAGCGACCTTCCTCTCTGTGGGACAGTGCCCAGCCGACTGAGCCACGCCGATAAGAGCTTGTCATGGTTCTTACAAGATGGTCTGCTGGGTCCAGGACTCTAGGCCGACAGCTTTCTTTTATCTCGGTGCTTTGATGGTGTCGCTTCACTGTCTCCCGTGTTACTGCCGACAACCTGTTCTGAATCCAGTTGTCGTTCCTTGGTGAGTGATCTGTCTTCTGTCTTGCTGCTTGTAAGATTTTCTCTTTGACTGATGTAACCTTGGAGATCAGGAAGTCCCGGAGAGACTGGTCACCATCTGTCCCAGGAATGGAGCAGATGTACTCGATGAAACTTCAAGAGGGAGACGAGGCCAGCGCAGGGGTGGACGGGAAGGCTGAGTGGGCTTGTGGCACAGAGAGCAGCCCGTTGCTGGGAGTATGTGAGCACGGGCTGGGAAGAACTTCCCTCTCACGTGCCTCAGTTACGCCTTAGTTATGCCTCAATGGCCTCAGCTGCCTTGATGGATGATGACCCTGGAGCTCTTTTAGTGGCTTCTGCCTTGCTTCCCCAGCACCTGGCCTCTGCCCATCTCCTTTGAAGGGTCCGTGACCTTCCCAGTCTGGCTCTCCAGTGAGCCCTCCTTGTCCCTGCTGGTCACACACTGCCGCCTTCCGTGCCCCAGCTCCTGGAGTGTGGCACAGATGCCGCGGAGCCCAGCACTCCAGTCTCCAGAAGCCTTTGGTCTCCGGGTTATTTCAGAGTGCTGAGTGGTCACTGCAGATGGCATGTCCTTTTCTGCTCGCTCAGGGTTTACATTTGGTACAGGTGCCTAGGGGTGGGAGGTACGGTCAGGAGGCCCCACTCAACCCACCACCAGTGCCAGACACTCAGGTTCTGATTCTGCCTCCTGTGCAGGGCGCAGCTGCCCCTCCTCAGTCCCACTGTGAGGACCTCCCAGTGTCCTGGGGTGGAGGTGGAACCACTGGAGCAGGGTCACTGGAGGGTGGGTTTGGCCTGCTGAGCGTGGGGACAGAAGTGAGTAACATGGCAGCATCTGACAGCAGTTTGCCTGGTGCACTTTGGAGAGAGGCAAAGGCAGGAAAGAATGGCCCTGGGTACTTCCAAACACCAGAGGCCCCGCAGATGTGTCCCCCTCAAAGTAGCTCAGTGACCACTCTCTTCCCTTGCCCCTGGGCGACTGGTGGGTTTACATGTGTACATGCGGGTCACAGATGTGACTACACACAGATGTAGGGTGTGGTGCCCGTGACGCCATCCTTGGTCTGCATGCCTATGGGGCATGTCAGGGAGGTCCAAGATGCTGGCCCCGCCCCCACGGAGAAGGAAGGCCCTGTGCCAGTACCGGAGGGCCTGAGATGTCAGGGTTACTTAAGAGTCATTCTGTTGCAGATCAGCGATGGTTTCTGCAGATCAGTAAAGAACCCTCAGGTTGGAATTCTGTTAGGGAGAAGGTGTGCGCATGGCTCATTGGACCCCACGTTCTCTACCCGGCAGTTCTAGGTTTGGTCAGGAGCATGTGGATTGAGAAGAATATTATCTCTTTATGCATCTGAACACTTTGCTTCCATGATGCCTTTCCTCCTGCCAGGGAGGAAAGGAGGGTGGAAGGAAGCACCACCTCCCGTTGGACTTCCTGTCACTCCCTGTGGTGAGGTTTTGAGGGGACCTGCTGTCCCACGGTGGCAGAGGTCTTTGATCTCACTTGGGTCCAGACACAGATGCCAGGCAGACCCTGGCGGAAGCCTCATGCTCACAGCTCTCAAGTCTGCACATGCATAAGCCGGTAGGGGGCTGCCAGCTCTGGGCACTGGGAACGGGGGCAGGGGCTCTGCGATGCCTGCAGCTTCTGCTGCTGCAGCCTTGTGCCTACAATCTGGCTCTGTCCTTGGCTGGCCCGGGAGGGGTGTGTCCGCATAGGAGCAGGCCTCCAGTCCCCCTGCTGGCTCTCCACTCCCCGAGGGACTCTCAAATGTAGGGTTGGCCTCACTGGACCTTTCCATTGGTGGACAGCAGACCCTTTGTGGGTGGTAGGCTGGTTACTTTGCTTCTGAGCTGAAGGGCATGAAAAGACAGAAGTGGTGAGAGCAGAGGAGTGGAGAGGACTGCATTTTTTAAATCAGCTGTGCAAGCACTGCCCCATAGGTCCCTGGGCTGTGGGACAAGGGAGCTATCCAGTGCAGTGCTCCTCAAACTTGACTGCGCCTGAGAAGCACCGGAGATCAAGTTCAAATGCAGGCTTTGACCTGGGAGGTGGGCCTGAGACTGCATTTCTAACAAGCTTGCAGGGGCTGCTGCTGCTGCTGGTCCAAAGTCCTAGAGCAGCTCCCCCTGGCTCTGCCCTCGAGGAGCGCCCAGGTACCCCCGAGCAGACAGGCGATTCCAGTGGCACTCAGAAAGGCACACAAGGATGTGAGAATGAGTGACCTGACCCAGATGGCATTTCTAGAAGGGCTCCTTAGAGGTGAGGAAAGATGAGAGCCTCCATCGGAGTGGCTAGGTTTGATGAAGGCCCCTCACACTGTGGCTTTGAGGAGAGAGCTCACAGTTTGAATTAGAATTTGAATCCCAGCCCTGAACATGGCCTCGGACAGGTCATTTCATCTGTCTCTGCCTCAGCTTCTTCATCCGTAAAGCAGAGATGAGAGTGCCTGCTCAAAAGGCTGGTGAGGGTGACGTGGGACAACGTGCGTCAGGTACCGGGCCCAGCAGCTATTACATAGCAGGCCGTTAATGAACGTTTGCGACCCCTAAGACTGCATGCTCTTCCCTCCTTGCAGGTGAATGAAATTTACCATGATGAGTCCCTGGGGGCTCACATTAACATTGCCCTTGTCCGCTTGATCATGGTGGGCTACCGACAGGTAAGCCCCTTGTCAGCAGGCAGGCTTTGCAGGGAGAAGGGGTGTGGGGCCAGTGCATCGTCCCGGCTATGGCGTGGGGTGGGGACCGGGGACAGCATCCAGTGAACATCTGGTGTCCAGAATCAGAACCCTGGGACTGTTAAAACTGAGGCTTCAGTGGCAGAGGCACTTGGGGATGGTGGGCAGGGATTCCTGGACTCCCTCCAGTCTGACACAGGGACAGTCCTGGATCCTCACCACTGAAGGTCCCTCTCCCCAGGAACTGCTGGGGAGAGTGGGGCTTGGAGAGGGGCGGTGATCAAGAAAGCCCTGCTGTGGTTGGGCCCGGGGCCCCCGGGCTCTGCCATCTCACACCAGCTGCTTATTCTCCCCCGAGTCAGGGTAGCAACCAAATTCCCTTCCAGGGGCTGTTGTAACAGTGAAGTAAAAGCAAACATATTAGAGGAAAAGCTCAGAACCACACCACCTTGTGGGTTACTCAAGGGGTTAGAGACAACTCGTGTCCAGTTCCTGGCAGACAGGTGTGCCCACACAGGGCTTGGCCCGTGAACATTCCCTGAAGTAAGAGGGTTGTGTGCCAGCGGCAGTCAGCGTCGGTGACCTTGGGACAGCTAGTGACCTTGGGACAGACAGTGCAGTCCTGTGGGCTCCCGTGTTCCCCGCTGCCAGTGGGAGGGGAGCGCTTGACACCCACCAAGGTCCGCAGGCTCCGACTGTCTACTCTGCTGTTGATACTCTCCGGCTCCCCGCAGTCCCTGAGCCTGATTGAGCGTGGGAACCCCTCCCGCAGCCTGGAGCAGGTGTGTCGCTGGGCGTACTCGCAGCAGCGCCAAGACCCCGGCCACGCAGAGCACCACGACCACGTCATCTTCCTCACGCGGCAAGACTTCGGGCCCTCAGGTATGCCAGGTACTGCACTGCCTTGGCCGGGTGTGCACAGCTGCAGGGCGGACGCCGAGGCTCGGGGCTGCGTGTGCCCTGGGGCCGGGCTCCCTGTCAGCGAAGAGGTCCACGGGACTGAAGAGACAGGGCCCGGATGGACAAGCGGGCGAGCTTCGCAATATTTCTTGGGGAGCAGAAGTGAAGGGGTCCCTACTCTGGGCTCTGCTGTCTTGGCTGAGCCTACAGCCTGCTCTGGGCTTGCCTCCCCAGGGCCCGGCAGTCACCTTCAAGGTGCTCTGCCCACACTGTGTTCGTCTGTCCTCACCACAGTCCTGGGCACCTAATGGGGGTCGTGGGGAGCTGGGAGAGGAAGGCCACGCTCTGCCTGCCCCTACACGCGTCTCCAGCCCGGTGACCCAAGCTCACTGTATCTCCTGGGGTTCCTCCAGCTGCCAGATGGGGAAAATGACAGTATTTGCTTCCTTCATTCCAGGGCTGCTAAAGGGGTCAAGAGGATGTGTGACATGTCTGTGACAGAGTGTGACCCTGTAAACGCAGGAAGCTTTGACCACCCCCAGTTTTCCATGTGGGGCAGCCAAGGCACAGGGCAGTGGAGAGGAGGCGGACTGAGACTCAGCCGGCATGTCTAGTTGAGGGCTTCCTAGTTTTCCTTGGTTTGATGCTAGGCGTGAGTCAGCCAGCCCTGCCTCTGCCCAAAGGCTCCTTGTCTGAATCCCTGAAGCCCCAAAGTGGGCTTGCACGCACACAGACACATATCCACACACCCGTATAAACTCACAGACACACATACAGGCCTACAAGCAAACACAGATACGTGGGCACAGACACATGTATACACAGATGTGGAGACATATGCCTGCATATGTACACACAAACACATCATACATACAGACACATGCACACATGCACACATACACCTGTTCGTGTGTGTACCTGCACCCGTGTAGAGCATGTCTCAGACCTTCAGGACAGTGGAGGCCCCAGAACCCCCTTCCCACTGCACCTCTCATTATTCGTCACTGGCCCATACTGCACCTCACAGAGAGAGCACTTCCGCAGTCCTGAAGACAGCGCCAGTGGTCTGACCAGCTGCCGGCCCAGGCAGGGAGCTCTCTCCTGTTGTCTCCTCCTCAGAGGCCTTCCTGAGTCAGCTCTATGCCCCGGCCCCTAACTGGGCCCCAGGGGAGGCTGGGCAGCAGGCCCCTTATGGCACAGGCTTCTCCTGCAATCTCAGCTTGGCACACGTCAGCCCAGCTCTGGCTGGCACGCACCAGCCCCGCCGCACTGCCCATGGCTCCTGGAGACCCGCACCCCACTTGTGTTCTCCCTGCCATGTGCCCTCTCCCCCATCTCTGGACGGTTGCCTTGCTTGTCCTCCAGGCCCAGCTCTGTGCCACCTGCGTCATCCCTGATCCCCCTCAACCCCTTCAGTTGAGCCCATCCCTTCCTCCAGATCACCACCCCCACTGCCCCCTGTGCTCCCAGAACTCCGTTCCTGCAGGCCACACCTAAGCTGATGCCAGATTCCAAGCCCCCCTGCTCAGCTGCCTGCTCCTGAATGTGTGGGTGTGTGGCAGGGAGGGGTGGGGGTTGGACCCCATTCCTCTGTTTTCCCCATAGAGTCTAACGTAGTGCCACCCCTACACCCACATTCTGAGAAAAAGCTTATTGTTGACTGACCAACTGACCAGCTGGCTGGAGGGACGTGGAAGTCGGGCACAAACAGGTTTGGGCCACTGCCCAGTTTAGAGAAGGGGCCAACAGGTACAGGGAGGGAGACAACATACAGCCTCAGGGTACGGGGCAGCTTGGCCCAGTCTCGCTCTGCTGCAAGGTGGGACTTGACAAGGATCCTTCTCACTCCAGGGACCCCCTGGCACTGGCCGGTCAGGGTGTCCCTGCAGGACTGCTGGGCGCAGACCTTGGCATGTCTCATCTCACCATGCATTGGTTCTCTCTGCCCCCCCACAGGGTATGCACCTGTCACTGGCATGTGCCACCCCCTGAGAAGCTGTGCCCTTAACCACGAGGACGGCTTCTCTTCGGCCTTTGTGGTGGCCCATGAAACTGGTCATGTGTAAGTGGCACGGAGAGGGCGGGCTGTGCCGTAAGCTCTGAGGGGGTCGGTGGGGGTGGGAGCTCTGCCCCAGCTTGGGCTCTGGTCCCAGTATTTTGGGAGATGCCGGAGGAGCTGCCCTCGAGGAGGTTTTGCCCTGGTGGGGAGAGGGCCCGGGGCTCAGGCAGCAGCTGCGGGCCTGCCTTGGGCCCGCTCCCAAAGCCCAGGGTGGCGGGGGACCAGATGTGGCCCTATGTTTGGGCAGGGCCGTGGCAGTGCCCCATCAATAGGCAGTAGTCAGCATTCTGGGTGGTCTCTATCCCTTCGTCTCACCCATCCTCAAGGTCCCTCTGAGACCTCCACACTGGAGTGCTAGCCTGAGCCCGTCAACAGGCTCACTTAGACTCAGGCTGCCCGCCGGGCTGGTGGCTGGCTTGCTGGGTCTTTGAACCTGGATTTTGTATAGAGCGTACTCATTCACTCCCTCACCCAGGACTTATTGAGTGCCTGCCGTGCACCAGGCCCAGTTCTAGGAGCCCACTGGGGCCTCAGGGGAGAGCAGGACAGAGAACACAGGAAGCTACACTCTGGGAGAAAGCCAATAAGCCGCCATCTGATGTGTCAGATGGTGACACGCATGTGCCATCGTCATGCCTCCCAGCCTTGTCTGTCCATGGGGCAGAGCTCAGGGACATGCCCATGCCTTCCAGCCCACACACAGAGTGAGAGCTATTCTCTGAAGTCTGAGGGACACGGGAGGGAGAGGGGTAGGCCAGCCGGGGGGGTGGGGGTCTTCCGTCCACGGTCTCCGCCCCTCTCTGCATCATCCGTGTCAGCACAGGAGGCCCACTCGGATTTCCTCCTGGCTCTGCCCCTCACGGGGCAGGTGGCGCCTACTCGCTGGGCCTCGGTTTCCTCACCTGCAACATGGAAGCTGACACCAGGGCCACCTCTGAGGTCCCTTCTGCCCTGGAAGCCAATGGTTTCACTCATTCTGGAGTCTGTCTTCCTTTATGGAGTGGCGCAGGGCAGGGGATGCTTACTCTTCACTGAGCAGAGGTTCCTCTGTGTGGAAAGATAAGGCCGAGCTCAGAGGACCATGTGTCTGTCTAGTGGTCAAGGCCACAGGCAGACACTTGGCAGTACTTAAGAATTTAGAACCTTTGGGCTTCAGCATTAAATATCAAGTATGAAGAGCAAAGTTTAAAGTTTACACTGTCACATAGTAGGTGCGTACCATGTGCAAAGCTGTGTGCTGAGTACTGTGGGGTCTCGGAGAAGCTTGAGAGTCCGCACAGAGGGGCTCGGTAAATGAGGCTGAACTGAACGGAATGGGACCTGGCCTTGCACTTGAAGGCCTTGGGCCTGGTGGGGAGATAGCTCATGGAGTGAGAGCTGTTAATGGTGGGATAGGTGGCTTCTGCTGTGGGAGGCCAGCCCACGGGCTGGGCAGCAAGGGAGGGTGCTCTAGGGCAGGAATGGGGTGTGAGCTGACCTTGGAAGCTGTGAAGATGTGGGTGGGGTTTGCGGAGGGGCGGAGGGTCTGGGAGTAGGGAACAGCAGGGGCAAGGCTTTCGGGGAAGAATGAACCTGGGTCTGTGGAGGGACAGAGGGGGCCTTAGCTTCCGTCCAGAGAGGCGGTCCTCCCCACTGCCGGGCTGGGAAACTGAGGCCACGAGGCACAGTCGGAAGCCTGGCCAGGGCAGGGTTTCCCGTTGCTGGCCCACCTGCCTGCCTCCTCAGAGATGGGCTCCCTGGGTGTGACTGGAGGCGCCCCCTGTCTTCCCCCGCCCTCTAGGCTCGGCATGGAGCACGACGGCCAGGGGAACGGCTGTGCGGATGAGACCGGCCTGGGCAGCGTCATGGCGCCCCTGGTGCAGGCCGCCTTCCACCGCTTCCACTGGTCCCGCTGCAGCAAGCTGGAGCTCAGCCGCTACCTCCCGTAGGCCACACCCCTCTTTGGGCCCCAGATGGGGGAGCATGCAGCCTGCCACTTCATCTCCCTCAAGTCGTCTCCCTTCCCAATGCCAGGTCGCCTCCGAAACTCAGTTCAAAGCTTTGCTGGTTACTCGTGGGCCTCCATGCCCCTGGAGGCCCAGGACAGTGTTAGACTTGAGGGTGCAACATGCAGAATGGGCACAGAGTGGATCTGGGGGGGCAGGTGCAGGCAGCGATTCCATCACTAGCCTCACACGGCAGCTGGCCAGGGCCCAGCATCCTGTGCCTCGCACGGCAGGCTGACATTTTTTCTACCCTCAGTGCAGTGGGCCCTCAATTTGTCCACAAAGCAGCCCTTAACCTTGGCCACAGCATGTTCCTCTAACATGGGCAAACGGGCCCACGAGACAGCTGCTCGCTGAGCTCCTGGCCCCAGCCCCGGGTGCCCTGGCCCCGGAGCACCCAGGGCACAGTTGGAGGAGGGCACAAGGCCCTGTGTGGGATGCAGCAGGGTGGGTTCTGCTTGCCTTCCTTCCCTTGAGATCTTGGGAATTCCCGCCTCAGCCTGCTTCACCTCCCCGTCTCCTCTGGTAGCTCCTATGACTGCCTCCTCGATGACCCCTTTGCACCTGCCTGGCCCCAGCCCTCGGAGCTGCCCGGCATCGACTACTCCATGGACGAGCAGTGCCGCTTTGACTTCGGCACCGGGTACCACACCTGCGCCGCGGTGAGTTCCCACCGACCTCTGCCAGCCAGGTCACCAAGACCTCATCCTTCTGTGACCCAGGCTGGTCATTCACAGAGCATCTTCTGCCCAGCCCGGCCGGTGGCCTGGAGATGGGCCCACAGGCTCCATTCCTTCAGGTTGATTCAGGGGGACCAGGGCCCAGGCCCTGCCCCCTCCTGTCCCGCCCCTGCCCCACCTAGTCCTCGCTGGAGGGGTGGGTGTGGGCGGCGGCTGGAGAGCTTCAGCCCTGGGAAGGATGGCAACAATTGCCAGCCAGGGCCCAGGCAGAGGCTCAGAGACAGGGACATCCCAGGGCAGGGGGCCTTCTGAGGGATCAGGCTCGGAGACTCACTGCACTGAGTGCCTCAAACCCCCACCCGGGAAAGCAGCTCTCTCCTCAGCCCCGCAGGACGAGGAGGCTCTGTGCATGGCCAGCTTTCCCACTGCCCAGGCCCCACTGGGACGTGTGGTCTCTGCTTGGGGGCGGAGAAGCAGCCTGGGATATGGGATTTCAATGTCCAATGCTGTATTTGTAAGAACGGCTGTCTGGCTAGCATGGGATGATAGGAGCGAAAAGAAAGTTGGGGCCTTTCTGGACAATCTGCAATACGCAGTTACTGACATGTGGTGTGGCTCGGTCAGACTGGGGGAGATGACAGCCCCAACCCTGTCTGAGCCCTACAGGGGGTGGGCTGGAACAGCAGCCCCCTCGATGCCCCCCACGTGCATAGGGCTCAGGGGCATTGGTGGATCCAGCCTCTCTAGAGCCTCAAACCCTAGTCCCCATTCAGTGACAAAGTATTTACCTTCTGCAAAGGCAGGGAGGGAGGCTTGGGGAGGGAAACAAGGGGAGTGTGGGCTGTGGCTGGCTCCTTCCCCTTGGTGCCCCATTAGAGCAAGGAGGGGTGGCTGGTGGCCACAGGCACTTGGGGAAGGGGTGGGCTTGAGGTTGTGCAGGGCTCTGGCTAGACAGGCTCCTCCTGCTCCCCGCTTCCGCCACTCCCTCCTCTCTGTCACTGGCCTTTGCCCCCTTGTCAGAGCTGGAAAGCCAGGCCAGCCAGGTGACCCTGTTCCCCTTGCCACCCAGTTCACGACCTTTGAGCCCTGCAAGCAGCTGTGGTGCAGCCACCCTGACAACCCGTACTTCTGCAAGACCAAAAAGGGGCCCCCGCTGGACGGCACCGACTGCGAGCCAGGCAAGGTACTGCAGCAGGAGTGGCCATCCTGGGCTCAGGCCCCAGGGGAGCTGCTGCCTCCTCACCAAGAATGTAATGTGTGTGTGGGCGGGGGGGGGGGTGGTGCTAGACAGCAGATGTGAGTCCCGTGTACGTGGAAGCCTCCCATGGACTCCCACACACTCACACCCTTTCTTCTCTCCCACGTCACAGCCTGTGCTTCTACAGTTGGCAGGGTTCGGCGTCACCTCCTAGCCCATCCAGCAGAAACGCTTACTCCCAATTCACAGATGCGGAGAGTGAGGCCCAGGCAGGTTAAGGAACTTGTGTAGGTCACAAAGGGAAGCAGGCAAGGGATGAAGGGAGGACTCCCGTGTCCTGCCTACTGCCCCCCACCGCGCTGTCTCTCCCACATACATGTTCTCCCCCTGTGTTCTTGACCTTTCATGTGTTTTCCTGGTGTGTGCTTGCTCCCACATGCGTATGTGTGGGCTCGGGCTTCCTTGTCAGGGGCCTCGTGGTCAGGTGTGAGAGCCCTGGGCTGGCTTCTGAAACCCGCCTCTGCTCTGCTGCTGGCCCTGCGCCAGTCGCTGTGCTGTGACCTCGGGCCATTTCTCGAACTTCTCTGGACCCTGCTGACTGCTGGCTGCACGCACTTCCCTCCCCTCATGGGTTTCTGAAGACACCAAATCAGGTCAAAACTAATGAGAGGGCTCAGAAGAAGCAGATGTGATGATTACTCAGCCCCAGCTGTGAGCCCAGCCGCTGGGACCCGCCCCCACAAACCTGTCCTCTGTCCACTGCCCCCCCACCCTGCCCCGTGCCCTTGCCAGGCCCCTCCCACTCCCCTCTGGGGCCTCCTGCAGCCCGGCAGAGGCCCAGCAGGCTCCAAACCCCGCTGGCTGTAGTCCCGGAGACTGAATTTGCCTGTTCCACATGCTCTCAGGGTCGCAGGGCCCCTGCTGTCACAACTTCACACAGCAGTGCATCAGTGGGTCTCAGTTTTGATGTACACTAGAACCGCCTGGGGAGCTTTAAAGGCCCCCGCCCCCAGAGCAGGAAGGGACTGTGTGAGGGGACGAGCTCAGGGCTGATGGAGATGTTCTAAAGCTGGATTGTGGTGGCAGTTGCACAGCACTGTAAATTTAGGAAAAATCATTGAGTTACAGATTTGAGATGGGTGCATCTTATGGTATGTAAAGTATACATATTGTTATGGCTTCGTTTAAAAAGTTCCTTCCCTAGGGATTCTGGTTCAGTTGGTCTGGGTGAAGCCGAGGCCTCTGGGCTTTTGAAGGTTCCCAGGTAACTCCATGGCTGAGAACCATGGAGCTGTCTCCTGAAAAAGACCTGGAGAGCTCTGCTGTGCTTCTCGCCTGTTGCCTTAGTGCAGAAGGGAGCTAACTTGGGTGGAGCCCCTTCGTGCCGGCTCTATGCTAAGGCCTCTATAGGTTACGGCCTGCAGTTCTTAGAACAGCTTCAGGCAGCCGGTGAGCAAACAGGGGCTCAGCAAGGTGAAGTCCACCAGGGCCGCACACAGCTAGTCATGGCCGAGCTGGGGCTCCAACCCTGGCCTCTTGGACTCCACATGCACACACTCTGCCCTGCACAGATGGGTCTCCCCATGGGGCAGGCCCACCTCCGTGACCCCACAGACACACCTGCTTATGGCCCTTGCTTGGCGATTTCAAGGTACAGAGCCACACAGACTCCAGACCACCTAGTGCAGGAAGACTGTGCCTTCTCTCCCGCATCAGCCCTTCGTTTCTCCCTGGTGGCGAACACGTGATTATCATCATCATCACTGACAGTGCTGCCTGCCGCTCCTGGAGGGCTGAGTGCCCCGGCGTTACCGCACTGAAGGCTCGAGGCAGCGCTGTGGGCAGGCACTGCTATGCACATGTCACAGCTGAGGAGGGGCTCATGAAGGGGGGCCCTTTTGCTGGGGGCCACTCTGCTCATGGCAGGGGTGGGATTCTGTGTAACGTGAGGCTTGTGCTCTTAACGACCCTTTCTCTGGGGTCACCTGTGGCGCCCACCAGCTGCGCCATGTGCCTCCATGGGCACCTCCATGTCAGGCTAGATGGCAATGACCCCAGAGTGACCTCATACCCTCTGCTCCATCCCAGTGGTGCTTCAAAGGTCACTGTATCTGGAAGTCACCAGAGCAGACATACGGCCAGGATGGTGGCTGGAGCTCCTGGACCAGCTTCGGGTCATGTTCACGGTCATGTGGAGGTGGAGTACGATCCCGTAGCCGAAACTGTGACAATCCCCTGTGAGTATGCTTGGCTGGGGTGGGCACAGGGAGGGGCCCCCTCTCCTTAGGCCTGAGGGGCTTGGAGAGGAAGGCACTGGGGGGGGCGGGCAGCGCACAAGGGAGAAGGACCCCTGCAGGTGGCTGAGCCTTCAGTGGGTGAGGACCTGAAACTGCCAGGGCGGGGGAGATCACTCCCGCCTGGGCCTGCCATCTCCCACTGGCTCCAACATCTTGGAATGGGTTTGAACCAGTGATTTTCACGCCTGTGTACAGAAGTTTGCCTGGGGACTTGGGGGCCCAAGTCCCTGCTGGTGTGACCAGACCTCCTGTGACCTGGATCCTCACGCTAAACTTTGAGAAACACGGATCTAACTTTCTTAGTGGTCGAGTCTTGGGACAATAACTTGCCCAAGTTTGTTTTCTAGCACATGAAACAAAACTTTCTTTTATTTTTCTTAACTTACCTCTTTCTAATATGAAATTTACCCTCTCACCCCCTCCCACCTAACTTTCAGCATTTTGGGGAGCATTCTCTTTCTCCCTTATCATCCCCTCTGTGGGCCCCGCCCGCCCCCATGGATTCGGAGCTTCTGGGCACCGGCTCGGCATGGACTCCTTCTCCCAGGCTAAAGCAGCCTTATGGGAGGTGGGCTTGGCTGGGCTGGCATGGGGGCCCTCTGGCTCCAGGAACACAATGAGCGGGGGACAAGGACTGCAGGATGGCAGGGTCCTAGCATCAATCACAGTGGGTTGGTGGCAGTCACCCTGTGCTAGCATCCTCAGAGCAGGTCCACTTGCTCTGCTGTTTACCCCCAGGCATGGGAAGCTCACTCCCTCCTGGAGCAGCCTGTCCCGGTGTCAGGTGGCTGTACTGACCTCTCGTGCACAGGAGCCAAAATGCACTGCCTCGTAACTGCCACCTGTTGGGGTGTGGAAGCTGGGGCTGGGGCAAGGCCCACGCCGCCCACTCTGAGCAAACTACCTTCCAGTCACGACAGGTAGTTATCCCCTTGATCAAAGCCTCCAGTTGCTGGCTCCTCTGTAATGATAACTATTTTTATTTTACGAGGCTCAAATGAAATAAATATGCATACTCTCCACACCATACCCAGCACAGACGAAGCACTCGTAAATGACATCTGCTGTTTTGATTATTACAGTCTCTGGAGCACTTCCTCCGTGCCGCGTGTGCTCCTGCGTATACCCATGTAATTCGCACAGTACCTCTGAGCAGAGTGCCAGCAACTGGTGCATGCAAAGCCTTTGTATTTAATAACTCTACCTAATCCTCTGAGTTTAATGAATAAGGGAGTACAGATTGCTTTTATTTATTTTTATTTATTTTTTAATCCTCACCCAAGGACATGTTCATTGATTTGAGAGAGAGAGAAGGGAAAAAGGGCAGGGAGGACAGAAAGAGAGACAGACAGAGACAAAGAGAAACATTGATGTGAGATACATCAATTGGTTGCCTTCTGTACATGCCCTGATCAGGGGTTGAACCTGCAACCTGGGTATGTGCTCTGACTAGGGATCGAACGCATAATCCTTTGGTGTATGGGACAATGCTCCAACCAACTGAGCAACCCAACTAGGGCCAGATGGCTTTAGAATAACTTTTCTTATCTATTCTTCACAGATACACCAGGAGGCAGGTAAAATAAGAGGTGTTATGGTCCCCCCTTTACAGGGGAAATGAAGGCATAGCAAAACTAAGTGACTGACTCGATTGTGCAGTCAGGGCTTGGGGTTGTAGGAATGTTGAGTCATTCATCGGGTCTGTATGGTACGGCAGGCCCTGTGTGACAGCTGAGAGAATATAGTACAAAGATGAATGAGACGGATCTCTCTTCCAGCCCAGTTGGGAGGGTTAGTCATTCCCACCCTCCCTGTCTCTTGCCTCTTGTTCCCCTTCTTGCCCCCCTTTCTGCCCCTCCCCCCAGTGGAGCAGGAAGCCTGTGTTCGAAGGACAGAGCTGCTGCTCCAGCAGGCTGTGAGCTCAGCAGCCCCCAATGGGGGACCCTCTACAGTTTACTGCCAGTAGAGTCCCTCTTTAAGCTAGTCTAAAAGGCTGAGCTGCCCTGTGGGAAGCCCGGATCTTCCCAGCCTCCCAGCAGCGAGGTCACTGGGTCTCCCTGTGATTGCCCCAGCCCAGCCTATGGAGGCCGCCCATGCTCCGGGCCCATGTTCCAGTACCAGGTCTGCAACAGCGAGGAGTGTCCGGGGCCCTATGAGGACTTCCGGGCCCAGCAGTGTGCCAAGCGCAACTCCTACTACATCCATCGGAACACCAAGCACAGCTGGGTCCCCCACGAGCCTGATGACGGTGAGTGGGCCCTACTCCCCTCCCACCCCTGTGTCCTTGAGCATCTGCTGGGTCCTTGTCTGGCCAGGCAGGGCCTCCCAGGCCTGGGCCCACCAGTGCAGGTAGAGGGACAGCGGGGGAGCCAAAGGGATGTTGCAGTCAGCAGGCTTGCCACCTATGTCTGTGCAGGCCGTCGCGTTGCGTGCACCTTGGGGAGGCCACCGTCCTCTTGCAGTCATCCCTGACTTGCATACACACATATGACAACTGTCTTCTGGAGGTGCAGGGAAGGTGTCTCAAGCAAGGGCAGCGCCCCCAGAGGTGCTGTGGGGTGGCAGCTGTGCTGGCTGTTGGGGTCGGCGCCTTTCACTCCTGCCTCGCCTGTACAGGAAGGCATAGCACAGGCACCGGCTTTGTGAAACCAGCATCCTGAGAAGTTCAGTCCTATCATGATGCTGTGGTTTTAGATTTTACTGCTTGTGCTACCATTTCAGCAGTTAGTGAAAACGGTTTGAAAGGCAGGCGGATAGGAACCTCTGGGGTCCTCATGCAGAGCCCCTCCAGGCTGCTGTGGGACAGACCAAGGCCTTGGGACCCGTGCAGAGGCGCCCGAGACAGTGCTGGGGCCTGTCTGTTGTGGAGCATTTCCGGTGATGGCTCCTGCAGTGGCAGAGGGAAGCCAGTGAAGGGCTGGGCTTCACGGTGCCCTCGAGCCTTTGGGCTGGAAGCATCCTTAACGGTCCTCTGACCGTTCCTTGCCATTCTCTCCATGGTCCTTGCACAGACTGAGGTTCACCCAGAACACACAGCCCTCGGCCTCAGGCCTCAGACAGTGCGGATGAGAACAGCTTTTCCTCTCCCAGCCCTGGCTGCCTCTCTGCAGCTCTGGTTCCACAGTGTTGCTCGTAGGCCCCTCAGCTCTTCGGCACATTCAGAATGACCGCCTTTAAGTTGGAAGGGGCCTCAGAAGCCTGTCCATTGCCCGCCAGCACACACACCCCTCTGGAACATGTTTATAGGGAGTGTCTTCCCTCTGCTTGGATTCCTTCCTGCTCTGGGGAGCTCCCCACCTTGCCACCATAGGCTGTCTTCCACGGCTGCCCCGGGCCCACCTGCCCGGGCACAGTGGTCAGGGCCATACCTGTCTTTGGGATGGCTGGAGCCCCCATCCTTTGGCCCCACCAGGTCCCACCAGGAATCTGGCTTCTGTGTGTGAACTCCAAGGTAATATTGGATGTTGCAGCTCCAGACTTGAGTCCTGCATGCTGGGGTACCACATCGCTAGGTATCCTGGGGGTCCAGGAACCAGGATAGGAGCCTGATGGCTCCTTTGGGATTTGACCAAGTGAGGGGCTTGCTTTGAAAGCCTTACAGATGCAGTCAGAATCCAAACAAGCCACCGCAGCACGGGCTGTGGAGAGTTCGGGGAGGCTGGACTTTGGGTTTTCCCAGGACTTTTAGACAAATTCTGGGACGTTAGCGAAGCCCCAAGCTCCCATTTTCTGAGAAGCACAGTGAGTGTTTATGGGTTCTCTGGGATGTCCTTCTTAGGACACCGATAGCCCAGAGAGAGAATAGAACATTTAACTGTGAGAACCAGAAAGGACCCCCTTCCCTCCCTCACTGCTGCTCCATTTACAAACCCAGACACAGACCATCCTTCTGCCTGCCTTTCACAGTCTTGTAATGTTTACAAGTGTGTCAAGGCACACCATCATAGGTGTGACTAGGGAAATGGGTGTAAGATCAGAACAGGACTCAAGCCAGACTGCCTGGGTTAGAATCCTGGCTCTTCCACTTACTGTGTGGTTTTGAGCAAATTCCTTAACCTCTCTGGTCCTTGGTTTCCTCCTTTGTAATGCTAGGACCTGCCTCCTTGGGGTATTGAGAGTTTCACATGAGTTCATTCACAAAAAGCGTTTATAGTTTTACATCACGCGTGTGTAAAGGATTTGGAGGTATCTGGCACATGGTAAGCATTAACTAAATGTTGGCTTGTTATTGTTGTTATGATTTTATCACTTGATTTTTCTCAACAACCTGATGTGCTGTTTTACTGATCAAGAGTAATAAATAAGAAACTGAGGCTTGAAGGGGTCAGTCAGATCATTTGCCTAAGGTCACATAGCTAATAAATAAGTGGCACAGCAAGAATTTTAAGCCCCAGCCCCAGTGCTCCCCCTGCTGCCCAGAGCTGGACCTGCAGCTTCCTGCTTGGGCCCCACGCTGATGTCATCCCGGCCTGGCCCACTCTCTCGGAGCCCAGCAGGGGCTCAGCACAGGCCCCTCTCCCCGCAGATGCCCAGAAGTGTGAGCTGATCTGCAGGTCAGAGGACACAGGGGATGTGGTCTTCATGAACCAGGTGGTCCATGATGGGACACGCTGCAGCTACCGGGACCTCTACAGCGTCTGCGCCCGGGGCGAGTGTGTGGTAGGTGACCCCCTGCAGGCCACCCACTGCCAGCCCTGGGGGACTGGAGAGCTCCACTGCCTGCCCCTTCTGTACCCTACAAAGGCATGCATTGCCTCACTGTGCCCACCCATGACATCCTTTGGACCTCAACAGCCCTGAGTTGCGAGAAAGGGGTTATTGCCTAGCTGCATTCAAGAGGAGAGGAGTGGGCCAGTTTTAAGACTTTGCCCATGTCACATGCAAGTTTGTGACAGAGCCCCTGTCCAGGAATGCCTCTTGGTTCAGAGTCCTCTCGTGTCTGGGGCCTGGGGGCCAGGGAGGGGACCACAGGCTGCTGACTCCAGCATGGAGATAAGGACATGGGAGCCTCCTCCACTGACGCCATCTCTGCTCTCAGCCCGTAGGCTGTGACAAAGAGGTGGGGTCCATGAAGGCAGATGACAAGTGTGGGGTGTGTGGCGGCGACAACTCCCACTGCCGGACTGTGAAGGGGACGCTGGGCAAGGCCTCCAAGCAGCCAGGTAAGCATGCTGGGGCCAGAGGGATGGCAGGGAGTGGCTGGGGTTCGGGCCAGTCAGGGTCCTAGAGCCTGGGCTGTCCCTCTGGTGCTCCCTCCTCCTTGATCTGGGCCACAGTACACGGTGGGGAGAGAGGGCCTTAAAGCCTGTTGTCGACCTTCCCAGGGTGCCCAGGGCTGGTAAGCCAGATGCTACAGCTGGTCACCTCATTTGCTAGGTGATCCGCTACCTGTGTTTGGGGCCTGGAGCTCAGGAGCAGTTTCCCGCTAGGTGGCGTGCTGTGATAGGAGGTCAGCTGCCTCTGGCCCTGGGGCTGCTGGCAGGGGTGAGGAGTCAGGCAGGTCTGACAGTGTGGCCCAGACTGAACCGGTAGCGTTCTTTTCCTCTTTCACTTTAAAAACCCCTGTGGTGCCCTGGCCGGGTGGGTCAGTTGGTTGGAGCGTTGTCCCTGTGCACCAAAAGGTTGCGGGTTTGCCTCCCAGTCAGGGCACGTACCTAGGTTGTGGGTTTGATCCCTGATTGGGGTATGTTTGGGAGGTAACCAATCAATGTTTGTCTCTCACATCGATGTTTCTCTCTGCCTCTCCCTTCCTCTCTCTCTAAAACAATAAACATCCTCAGGTGAGGATAAAAAAAACATACAAACACCTGTAGTGCCTCCTGCCTTGAACTACTGGTATTTTTTGAGTTCCTTATTTCTCTCTGCACCTGAAATTTTGCTAAACTTGCTGTGGAAATGGCCAGATAGTAGTCCTTTTCATTTTAGTATGAACTAGATCCATTTCCCTTTGGGGGACATTATGGCTTTACCTCAATTCTCCTTGATGGGAGAAGATTGGCGGCTCTGAGGAAGGTTTGTTCCCAGGCCTTGGGCTGGGAAGGCCACCAGGGCCCAGGGCAGCCTTGCGGGCCTTTGTGGCCCTCTTCATCTAAATCCCTGCAGTGGCTCACGGTGTGAAAATAAAGGGAGGAAGGAATGTAGGGAGCGAAGGGGAGGGTCAAGAAAGTAGGAAATACTAGTGTCTAACACACACACAGCCCTAGGGTCCGCAGAGCATTCTTAGCTACAGCAGCTCATTTGATCCTGTCATCACATTGTGGGGAAGGGCCCAGGCCTGGTTTACAGATCAGGAAACCAAGGTTCCTGGGTACCTGCGGGGAAGCAGGGGGAGGGGCGGGGGGGGGAGCTGGAGAGACAGAGGGTGGGGGCAGTGGGGTCACCAGCTCAGGACGCTCATGGCTTTTCTGGATCCCCCTCTGGCAGGAGCTGTCAAACTGGTACAGATCCCAGCGGGTGCCCGGCACCTCCAGGTTGAGGAGCTGGAGAAGGCCCCCCACAGCATCGGTGAGTGCTGGGGTGCAGGAGATGGCTGCCAGGCCCCGGACCAGCCCACAGGTGGGGCGGAGCTGAGAGAGTAGAGGACAGGATTCCAATGCAGGAAGGATTTCACAAGTTTGAATAATGGCAGAGATCCCCTTTTTGCTTTAGTTCCCTGTGGTTCAGCAGTGGGGGCTGGGCTCAGCTGGGGGCTGCTGGGGTCTCATTGCCTGGGCTCACTCTGCAAATGCAGTCAGCGGGTGGATCTGTGGGGACCTGGTTGGTACTGTCTGTCAGCTGGGGTCGTGGGGGTGACAAGCCTTGTTCCCAGCAGGCTAGCTCAGGGTTATGTACGTGGTGTCTGTCACGTGGTCCTCAGGAGTGGCCAGAGCGGGCAAATCCCATGTGCAAGCACTTCTTACGTCTCTGCTTGCGTCATGCTTTCTAATGTCCCACTGGCCCAGCAAGTCCTGTGGCCAAGCGCCGACCCCAGGTGTAGAAACAGACCATCTCTTGATGGGAACCACGGTGGAGTCATGGTGCAAAGGGGCAGGTATACAGGAGCAGGAGGAATTTGTAGCCATTTTCCCAGTCCGCCACATGGACCCTTAAATTATTCTCATAATGACAAACACAGAGTCACTAAACTAGATGCCTACTCTTTATATTTATAATAGTTATGCAACTGTGTAGCCAAAACAGATGCAAGATTAAGGTCTCCAAATAAATCAATACAATACAAATTAAAAACATTAATGTGATCGGATAGATTTTTGCTGTTGTTGGTTTGTTCTGTTTTTGCTGAAACCAAGTTGGCGGTCAAAAAATGAACACGTCCAAAGGAGGCAAACCCATGGGGATACGAAACAGATCGGCGATTGTCAGGCGCTGGGGGCGGGGGGGGCGGGGAGTGACTGCTAATGGGTCTCAGATTTCTTTGGGGATGATGAAAATGCTCTGGAATTAGATAGTGGTGATGTTGCACAACCCTGTAACTGTATGAAGAATCACTGAATCGCACACTTTCAAAGGCTTGATTGTACGGTATGTGAGTTGTATCCGAATTTAAAAATCATAAGCATGGTTTAGAGCAGGTCCTGGTGGCGAGGCAGGCAGCAGGCTGTGGCCTGCAGTCTGGGCAGGGGATGGCTCCCTCACACGTGTCTGTGTTTAGCCCCCTCATAGAGGACACGTGGGCGACAGTGTCACCAGGGCCTCTCTCACATGTGACGCCCTCCTAGTCACACAGCTTGGCCCCAGTGCGTCATGAACACAGACACAAAACATAACATCTCTTGAGGCAGGTTTTTATATCACAAAAATGCTGACGTTTATATTTTTAGATTATCTTCAAAGTAATAAAAACACTTTTAAAAGTCTCCTGGATAACATCTCCTTTGGAAAGTGCACCCACATTAACATAGCTGTGACTGACCTGGAAGGCGCCTGGAGGGTGTGGGCCAAACAGGCAGTAGGCACAGGACCCAAGTGGATTGTGGGCCCTCTGCGTGCCCTGCTCTGGGCCTGAGCCAGTCTGGGCCTGGGGCTCCTGCCCCCTGCCCCCTGCCCTGTGCCTTGGCAGCCACGTCACTCTGCACAGGGAGTGCACATTTAGTTGGCTTTGGCTCTGACAGCTCCCTGCCCACTTGTTCTGGGAGTCCTGCTGAAATAGAGCCAGGGGAGGGAGGGGCAAAGAGAGAAGGGTCATTTCCTCCAGAAGGAAGATGGAGCCCCCAGGCTATTATTGCACCCTACAAATGATTCCATAGTATCAGCAGCTCCTTGGGCCTCCTCTGCCAGCTCCCTCTGCCCCTGCATCCACAAGTCGTGTGCTGATCCTCTGTAGGAAGGGAGGGATCCAGGCAGCTTTTGTAGAGATGAGACAGAGGTTTCCAGCACCAGGGCAGGCTCTGTACATGCACATTCACCTGTGTGTTTATTGGATGTATTCCCCGAAAGGTCGGAGCTCTGCCAGAGTCAGGACAGGGAGGGGAGTTGAACTTGGCATTGGCACAGGTTGTGTGATTATTCAGGAAGGATGTGTCGGCTATCTGTGTGCGTGCACATGTGTCTTTGTACGCACCTATGTATGCCTGATGGTATATGCTCTCTGGAGAAGCCCAAGAGAGGTGGCAGCCTTGGCAATGAAGGCCAAGGCCCTGTCCAAGCTGATTAGACTCTCCTGGAATTTAGGGACATAGACTCCTCAAAAGGAAGAAAAAGCATGCTGTCATATGTCTGCAGTACTGGCCCTGAGCTGGCCCTTTACACACACTGTCCCGTTTACGCATCAGGATGGCCCACGGAGGCTCCTGTGGTCCCCGTTTTGTGGTTGGGAAGAGGTGATGATGGTTGCCTAAGGTGCCGAGCAGGTCAGGGGCAGGGCCAGGACTTGGAGCTCGGCCTGGATGGTAGAGGCCATCCTGGGACCAGCCCACCGCCCCTCTGAACGAGCATCGGCACAGGGCGGGGACAGCGGCTGCTGTGAGGTGGGGGAGCAGACGAGGGTGTGTGCAGATCTGAGGCTGGGCCCAGCCTGAGAAGCTGCCCCGTTCTAGCCAAGACAGTCTGGTGACTCTGAAGGCTGAGAGGTACCGGAGATGAGGGGCCATTTCTCCTCCTCCTGCTCAGCAGGGAGGCTGGTCCTCTAGAGCAGGGGTCCCCAAGCCCCTGGCTATGGACGGTACTGGTCTTTGGCCTGTTAGGACCTGGGCCGCACAGCAGGAGGTGAGCAGTGGGCTGACCAGTGAAGCTTTGCTTGCATTACCTCCTGAGCACCACCTCCTGTCTCCTCCCACCGCCACCCCCCTCCCCTGGCCATGGAAAAACTGTCTTCCACGAAACCAGTCCCCAGCGCCAAAAGGTTGGGGACCGCTGCTCCAGAGAACTGGGCCACCAGCCCACTGCCCCTCTCGGAGCCTCTGACTCCCCATCTGGATTAATAATAGCACCAACCTCAGGATGTGTGTGCGGATTTCACTGAGGCAGCTAGCAGAGAGATCAGCACGTGGTTCGTGCTCAAGCGTGTTAGCTTTTCTATTACGGTTATGCTGGATGGCTTTAATCTGCACACAGAGGGGCCACACCAGGGCTCTGGAGCCTTTGCCTGACCCTCCTGGCTGAGGGGCTCAGGTCCCAGGTGTCAGTCCTTCCTGCCCCTGCAACTCAGGGCTTTGCCGGGGCATCTGCACCTACACACCTCCCGCCTGGCCTTTTAGTAACAGGTTGTAAGTTACATACTGACTAGGACTGCAAGGGGTAGAAATTCACAGGTATTTTAAAAACTCCTGCTCCGTGCCAGGCTATGTGCTGGGCCAAAGACACAGAGAAAGAGGAGATGAGCTGACAGGCTGCAGGAGACATGAGACATCTGTAATCCCAACAGTGCTAGAAGTCAGGCACTTTCCTGATTGTAGCAACAGTGCCTGCCATCTATTACCTGCCTGCTGCATGCCATGCTCTCTGCCTAGGTCTTTGCATATATGGACTCTTTTAATTGTCTCAAGAGCCCCAGGGAAGGTGGGTGGGCTGGGGGACTGTGTTTTTCATCCTGGGGCAGCAGCCCTGTGGTCTAGGTGCAGTTGTCATTCCCAGGCTACAAGTGGTGAACTGAGGCAGCACAGGGAGGCTCAGGTACTTCCCCATGGTCAGCCTGACTTCGGAACCTGTGCTCAACCCATGTGCTCTGCTGTAGATGTTCTAGGGAGGGTAAATCCACAAGGACTGGGCAATCAAAGAAGGCTTCCTGGAAGAGGGGAAAATTGTGCTGGCCTTAAATGTGGGTGGAGATTAGTCAGGCAAGAAGTAGGGAAGACAGTGAGAGTGGAAGGAATGGTGTCCCACCAGGGTAGCGACACTGTGGGGAGCACTGTGGGTGCCTGTTTGATTGGGGAGGGGCTTAGGTGGGAAGGAGTGACAGGTAGACAGGGAGCCCGAGGGGCCCACTGGCAAGGCCTGAAGCCCATAGGGGTCTGGCTTGTGCTTCCGTGGAGGAGACCAGAAGTCTGTGTGTCCCTCTCACCCTGGCCAGCGGTGAAGAACCACGTCACAGGCAGCTTCGTGTTCAACCCCAAGGGCAAGGAGACCACTAGCAGGACCTTCACTGCAATGGGCCTGGAGTGGGAGTACGTGGTGGAGGATGCTAAGGCAAGCCTCAGGACCAGCGGGCCCCTGCCCGAAGCCATCGCTGTCCTGGTGAGCCCCCACCCTGCACAGGGGCCCCTGCTTGCCCCCTCGCTGCCCCAGCCTGATCCTCCCCACTCACTGTCTCCGCTGCTGGGCCAGTACAAGCCTGGTGGAAATCCCCCCGTTCCACTGTCTTCAGGAGCCTGAGCAAGGGCAAGGTGCCCTCCGTCCCAGGCCAGCTCCTCCTTTGTGCTGGAGGGCTGGCAGGAGGGCAAGCGAGGAGGGAAAAAGAAACAGTGCCTCACTGTCAGACCAGAGATGCCACACACAGGGAGTTTGTTCTCCTTAACGAAGGGTCAGAAATGGGGCCTAAAAGAGTGGGAGGGACCTGGGTTGGTTCCTGGTGCTGTCCTGGCATCGTCCAGCGTCAGCGTGCATTATGGCATCGCCAACAAGTGAGTTGGCACCTGACCCCGGGGGTGCCGTCTGGCACTGCTGGCTTCCTGAGAAGGGAATGGGGCCCCCATCCTGGCCGGGGCCTCTCCGTCCAGCCCTTCTTCCTAGGCCACAGGCCAGTGCTTACGGAATGGGGACTGTGAGCCCAGGAGACCACGGCGGGCTCTGTCCCCAGTGCCCTTGGCCCTGGCTGGTTGCAGCGCTTAGACAGGCTCTGTCCCTGGCGCTCCCCTCCCTGGTTGAGGAGGGCCTGGAGGTGGGGTCTATGGCCTTCTGAGGTCAGTGTGGTAATTCAACCCAGCACAAATTTTCTGTTCATGCTCTATTTCTCGATCACCCATACACATCTGTGGCCTATTGATTTTCAACAAAGGTACCAAGGCCATTGAATGGTGACAGAATAATCTCAACTGGAAATCCATAAGTAAAAGAATGAAGTTGGACCTCCACCTGACATCATACAGCAAAATTAGCTCAAAGTAGATTAAAGACCTAAATACAAGAGCTCGAACCATAGAAATCTTGGAGGACACAGGATAAGTCTGATGGGATTGGAGTCTTAGGTACAACACCGAAAGCGTGCGTGAGAAGAGAAAAAATAGATGAATTGGTTTTCATGGGAATTGAAAACTTTTATACACCGAAGGACAGTGTCAGGAACGTGAAAAGACAACCTGTAGAGTTTGTAATCGTACTGCTAGGGAGAGCCCACACCCAGTCTGCACGCGCCGACCGTCTGCCAGAGTCAGGCAGTGCGGGTGCGCTGGTGGGCGGGACAGACCCGCAGACACGGACAGCTTCTGCCCTTATTGGAGCTGAAGTCTGTGGGAGGGAGAAGGAGAGGGAGAGAAACATCCATGTGCAAGAGAAACATCGATCGGTTGCCTCTTGCACACCTCTAGCTGGGGGTCTGGCCCAAAACCCAGGCCTGGGCCCTGACCTGGAATTGAACTGGTGACCTTTCAGTTTATGGGATGACGCCCAACCCACTGACCACACCAGCCGGGGCCTCCTGCTGGCTTTCACCACTTCAGTTTCTGACCTCATGCTCTTCCCTGTGACCCTCCCCCAACACTAGCCTTGCTTCCCCACTCTCGGGTCCTGTGCCATCTCCTCCATCTCCGCTTAGGTGCTCCCCCCGGCTGAGGGTGGCCCCCGCAGCAGCCTGGCCTACAAGTACGTCATCCATGAGGACCTGCTGCCCCTAATCGGGAGCAACAACGTTCTCCTGGAGGAGACGGACACCTACGAGTGGGCGCTCAAGAGCTGGGCCCCCTGCTCCAAGGCCTGCGGAGGAGGTACTGGCCCGCTTGGGCCCGGCTGCCCCAGCCATCCTGCTGCCCTGTGGGGGCAGCCAGGGCCTCTCAGAAGGAGTAGGGCAGGAGTGGCCAGGGGGCAAACATTGTGTCTACCTGACACGTCCCCAGCTAATGCCTCAGTTTGTCCTTGAAGACCTTCAGGGTGTGGAAGCCTGTCTGGGTAGGGTCTCCGGGACAGGGCTGGGGTGCTCGGGCAGTATCGAGGGCAGGGCCTCTGTGCAGAGAGACCACCACCCTCAGCCATGTCCTCACCCACCCCACCTACACCACACCAGGGACACGAAAGATAGGCTGATCGAGGAAGGCTGTCTCAGAAAGCGGTGGGCAGGAGATGTGCACAGGCACAGAGGGGTGGGACTGGCCCTCCAGGCTCTCCAGAGCTCACCGTCCCCAAGGCCCCAGGCGGGGCAGTGAGGGCCTGGCAGGACCAGCCCCATGGCAGCCTGCGCTCCCCACAGGTATCCAGTTCACCAAATATGGCTGCCGGCGCCGCCGAGACCACCACATGGTACAGCGGCACCTGTGTGACCACAAGAAGAGGCCCAAGCCCATCCGCCGGCGCTGCAACCAGCACCAGTGTCCCCAGCCTGAGTGAGTGCTGGGGAGGGAGGAGAAGGCTGGTCCCACGCCCAGGCTGTTGCAGACCCACTCTCAGCCCTGGCCTCGGAGGAGGGGCTGCGCAGCCAGCTCCCCCAGCCCTGTGGCCCCGAGACTCGGCACTGCAGCAGGCTCCCTGTGCAGAGGTGCCCTTGCCAGGCTCTGCCCACGGCCAGCGCTGCCCTCCGTTGCCTCTGTTCCCTCCAGGTTTCTGGACTAACTTCTACTCCCGGAAGAAGGTGCTTCCTTTGTTCTGTCGCTCCCAGCATTCTTTCACAGATTGGGAAACTGAGGCCCAATTTGGGGCACAGCTTTCCCTCAGTGACATGGGAGGTCCATGGAGGCGAAGCAGATTGCAGTGCTTCCCGGCCCCAGACCCTGGGCCAGGACGCGGCCCCATCCCATCCCCTGCTCGTCTCAGCCCTGTCCTCCGGGCCCTGGACTCTGCCTGGCCTACTGGCCCCAGCCAGGGTCGAGCCCCTGGTTGGGGTTCCCTGGCCTGAGCATTCAGGCTCTTTTGGGCACAGGATCATGTTCTCGGGGTTATTTAGAGGGAGCCTTGGGGAGAGGAAAGAGCTGTGACTTGTGGAGTATTCAAGGTCAGGCCTCTGAGCCTGTCGCAGAGCCAGCTCAGCACTGGTAACTGGCCAGCAGGAAACTGCAGAGAGCCAAATCCAACCTCTTGCCTTTCCAGCAGTCCTCCCAGGGTGGGGGTCAGGTGCCGACTGGCAGCTCCTGCTCCCTCGAACTAGGAGAGCTCCAGGGCCAGGCTGGAGCCGGGACCAGCGCTAGAGCCTGCCACGGCCTCCCTGTGCCGGCCAGGCTGTGGTCCCCGGCCCCTCAGCCCTCCACACTCTCCTTTCATGTCCTGCTGTGCAGTGGTATTCTGGCCGCTTTCCCCACAAATGCCTATGATCACAGAGTGCATGAGGCTAATGGGTCGCCCGCCCTGGCTTGTCTGTAAAACTGCCTGATGAAGTTTTAGGGCTTTTTGTTTTTAAAGGAAGGGTTTGGCTGAAAGAGCCCTGGTTTACCACCAGGTTAGCTGATCAGCACTGAAGTGCTGCAGGCGCTGATGGTGATACTAATAGTGCCTACATTTATTACACACCTACTGTACGCTATGCACCCTGCCAGGTGCTTTACATATCCCAAGACCTTTAACCGCCCCAAGGGCCCCATGGGAGGGGTTCTGCTGCACAAGTGGCGGCTCTCATCTGCTTTGTGCACTGCTGCACCTCAGCACCGAGGACAGAGCCTGCACAGGGCAGGCTCTCAAATATTCATGAGGCGTTGAGAGGCTCCTAATGTAAAGATGGGGTAACTGAGGCTTAGAGGGGTTAGTAGCTTGCCCAAGGATGTGCAGGGTGCTGGGATTTAAATATGCATTATACCCATTTTTTAGATGAAGAGATAGAGGAGAGATTAAGGGACACTCTTGAGGCCACACAGGCTGGCAGATGCAGAGCTAGATGGACAGCTGTCCTTTCCCCCAAGCGTTCTGCAGCCCAAACCCACTCTCTGGCCCCTGTCTACAGTTCAAGGGGGGACACGACCCTGGGAGGAATGTCCCCATGGTCCCACCTCCCCTCCACCTTCTGCCCCGTCTGTCTCCAGGTGGGTGATGGAGGAGTGGGGCCCCTGCAGCCGGAGCTGTGGGAAGCTGGGGGTGCAGACCCGGGGAGTGCAATGCCTGCTGCCCCTCTCCAACGGCACCCACAAGGCCGTGCCAGCCAAAGCCTGCCCTGGCGATCGGCCCGAGGCTCGGCGGCCCTGCCTCCGAGTGCCTTGCCCAGCTCAGTGGCGGACGGGAGCCTGGTCCCAGGTGAGTTGTCCTCAGAAGGTGGCAGGGGCTGGGCCAATGGGGCCCCTTCTCTGGGGAGTCAGGGAGGAGGTCAACCTGGACGGGGGAGCTGCTGAGAGATCTGGTGCTGCGCGCAGGCAGCGTTTCTGGCTGAATTTTCTCTCCCCTTATTGTTACCCAACAGCCAGTTGGGGTCCCGCTGCCCGCCACCACTCTCTGGGCAAAACTCCAGAGGCAAAGTTTTGCTGACAAAGGAAAGGGGTCTTTATTCAAAAGCTTGACAATTATGGAATAACAGCTTTCCACAAGAATTAGTCACTTAGGCCTATCAATTAAGGCTAAAAACTCTTTAATTCTTTAGTTACAGCTTTAATCACATAAGCCTATTAATTAAGGCCAAACTCTAAACACCTGGGTTCTCCTAGCATTTCCCCTGTTGGTTTTTAGTTACAGTATCTTATTTCCATAGGGTTAGTTTACAAACTAAAACAGCATAATACACAAATCTACACAACGTTGGGAGAATGGCAGGCCTCTGCCTCAGAGCTGGTCTCCTCCAAAACACCCGGAGAAGAATAACCCTGCCACCCTCCGCCAGGCCAGCCCGAGCCTAAGCTGTGCCCAGAGTTCCTCCCCATTAAAAGCACTGTCTTCAGGGAAATGCAGGAAGGTGCAGCACGAGCAGCCAGGCATCTTCGAGGAAGAAGAGCCCCAGAGCCAGAGAGAGCCCGCCCAGGAGCCCGAGAGCCCGAGAGTCAGCTTTCCTTTGTTTCAAACCTTCTAGCCCATAATTCCGTGTGCTCTGGAGGCACTCAGCTTCTCAGCCAAACCTGCCCTAGACTGTTTACCATTGCCTGCTCCTGCGGCCCCTCCCTGTTTCTCCCCAGAAATCCGATCAGATCTCTCTGCAGCATCATCTGACTTGGTTTTTCTCAAAACTGAGTGGAACAGCTCCCATTTACCCTGGGCCATGGCTCTGAGCCAGGCCTCTACGTTTGTTCACTGTGTGCCTTGACCTTCGCGCAGCGCTAGGACACGTGGGCTGGTGTCCCCAGTTACAGATGAGCCAATTAAAGCATATTCTTGCGTTCAGGAAATATGTACCGTGTGCCAGGCACACTGAACCAGGAATATAGGGATCCAGCATTAGCCAGACAGTGTGGTTCTTGTGCCTGTAAAGCTCAGAGTCCAGTGAGGGAGACATAAGGGGCAGGTATACTGACAAAAACATTTACAGGTTGTGGTTGGAGCTGTGTGGGAAGTGGATGGATTATTGCATCTGGAAGGGCCTCTCTGAGGAGGTGACCTTTGAGTTGAGAGTTGAGGGATGAGCCGCAGGCAGCCCCCGAGGCAGGAACAACCTTGCCACATTCCAGAAACTGAAGGGACAGAGGGGCTGGAGCTTAAGGAAAGGGGCAGGGGCTGCAGGAGGACACTGGAAAGGTGGTCAGGGCTTGGTGAAGAGTTAGACTGTGTTCTCAGGGCAGCGGAATGTTTTTTATGTGAGTGTGCAAGCTCCGATATCAGGTTTCAAGGCTCACTGTGGCACCTTGGTAGGAAGTTCATTGTGGAGGAGCAGGGTAGAAAGAGGAAAACAGGAAGAAGGTTGAGGAATAGCCCAGGTGCTTGTGGGTTGGCCCTGGAAGTGGCCACAGGGTCTTTTTTGATGTCTGGGGTTCTCTCTTAAAAATTTATTTGACATGAACCTTGAAGACATTATGCTACATGAAATAAGCCAACCACAAAAGGACAAATGCTGTGTGATTCCACTCACCTGAGGTGCCTGGAGTGGTCACACTCACAAGGACAGAGGGAGAACAGCGTCTCCAGGCTTGGGGGAGGGAGGACTAGGAGTCTGGTAATGGGGACAGCGTTGGCGCGGGGGCGTGGGGGGTGTCCCGGAGACGGGGGGCAGTGAGGGCGGCACAGCGATGTGAATGTGCTTAGTGCCACAGAACCATATGCCTCACAGTGGGCAAAATGGTAAACTATGTGATATTTTACCACAATATAAAAAGCTGATTTGGTCGAGGAAGTAAGCACACACACACAAAAGGATGCTTATCGTAATAGCAAACAAATTAGGAAACATTCTAAATGCTTATTCATCGGAGATTGGTGGGGAGCATCATGGTCTGCTCATACAATAAAATATTCTACAGCAAGAAAAACGAGTAAGCGTGAACTATACGTATCAACATAAACCCCACAAAAGTAAATCTAGGTGAGAAAGTGCATTGAGGTCTGAAGAAAGCAAACACTTCCAATTTACTTCAAGTTTAAAAGGCGCAACAACATATTTGAAAACGCGCCCAGTGCTGCCTCACTGAAGCCGGGGATGGTGTTTGAACAGGTTTCCATGACGAATTTCCTCATACTTTTCTGTGTGCTTAAAATATTGCATAATTAAGAGTGCTTTGAAATAACCAAAAATCCCCACATAGTTCATGAAGGTTTTATATTCTTCTGCATGATATGTGAATTTACTTGCTCCAATATAAAACAGAAAGGTGGCCAGTCCCAGAAAAGACCCCATAGGTGAATCCAACAGGAGTATGACAGGCAGTGGAGACAGTCGCCCCTTATGAGACTGATAAGCACTTGAGAGTAGTCACTTGTGATTATCCACCCCAGGGAGGATGAGCCGTCTTTGTCCCATGGTTCTGTGTGGCCCGTGACCCTCGAGTCTCCCCGGGGTTGCCCCACACCCAGTGTGAGAAGTGGGCCTCTGCGAGTTCCTTCCCATCCCACTGGTAGAGGCTGTGGGTAGGGCCTAACACCCAGTGACCTGGCTGCAGTGGCGGTCTTGCTTTTCTGGGAGGGCCCACCCGTCGCCACCCATTCATCAGGGGAAGGAGGGTGCTGGGCTCAGGGATGCAGTCGGTACGGCAGCCCTGGCAGGTGGCCATCGTCTTCTGCTCTGTGTAGCTACACCTTTTCCTCTCGGGGAAGAAGGCACACGGAACGTGCCTCTGCAGGCTGAGTTTGGTAAACTGAGCCACAGAGTCATTGAAGGTCAGAGCCAGAAGGGTCTGTGGTAACCTTGTCACCCAGCTCTCTGTTTAGCAGATGCCACAATCCAGGTCCCGACATTCTACACCAGGATGTCATCAAGTAAACAGACCCGCCCCAGGTCCCAAGGGTGGGTGGGTCACACAGGGGAGTTGGCCAGGGTGACGCTCAAAATATTCAAGGGCCAGGCCCAGACCGGTCAGCGTGGACGCAGGCACAGGTGCCAGACGGGGCCCCGAGCCAGGGTTGGCTGACAGGGTGGTCTGAGCTCAGGGCCGTGGCCTCCCACCACCCAGGGCAGGGGCATTTGACAAGTGGTGTGCTGTCCCGATGAGGCTATTTAGAAATAGTCCTTGCTTGTCCTTCTGGTCACGTGGGGACTTAGCACCTGTCTCTGTACCCTCTCTGCCCTGGGCACTGGCTGGATTGGAGCTCACTGCCCCCTTCTTCTCTCTCCACCTGCTCTTCCCGGGCCACCGTGTCCTGGCCTGGCCCTGGCCGTGTCACGGCAGTGCTCTGCCACCTGCGGAGAGGGCATCCAGCAGCGGCAGGTGGTGTGCCGGACCAACGCCAACAGCCTCGGGCAGTGCGAGGGGGACAAGCCAGACACCGTCCAGGTCTGCAGCCTGCCCGCCTGCAGAGGTGAGCCAGAGAGGGTGGGCGGAGGGGGCAGAGGACAGGCAGGCCCAACTCCAGTGGCCTCCACCCACAACCCCGCCCAGCCTGTATCCTGGCCCCCCAGAAATACCACATACGAGAGCTGCTTCTTCTGTTCACAGGAAGTCTCCAGAACTCCACAGTGAGGGCTGATGTCCGGGAAGTCGTGACCCCAGGCGGGCAGTGGGTGCCACAGTCTGGGCCCCTACATCCTGTTAACAAGATATCATCAAGTAAGTGTATTTCTGGGCCACCCCCCACCCCCACAACCTTCCGGTGGTCAGTATCACCAGTCCGGGCCATGCGGTGGAGCAGACCTAGCCTTCAATTTGTTCCTTTGACCTTAGCCTCCAGAAGCCTCAGAGGCCTCAGCTATGAGGTGGGGATAAAGCTTGTACTGGTCCATGGTCCCTCATCTACAATTCTAAAATGCTGAAAGCTGCAAAAGTTTACCTAAATTTGGTGCAGACTCATTTGACAGCAAAGTCTGACCTGAACTAACAATTCAGTTATTCTACTATAAAAACATTGCCATATTTGGTTATAAGGTGATATCCCAATCTCCACTGGGGATATTATATAATAAAAATATGGTGAGCCTTTTCTAACCTCAAAAGTTTTGAATTATGAATCATATCTGATTCTAAGATTTTTGGCCAAGCAATTGTAGATCTGAGCCGCCTCCACAGGCGGCTGTTAATTTTCTGTTGAGAAAATTAAATGAGATAATGCATGCACTTCTGTCCAGCTATCAGCTAACAACCACCAAAAGAGTAGTTTCTCTGCCTCATGATCAGTTCTTATTTCTACATGTTCATTCACCTACCTACTCACCCACCTATCCATCCTCCCACCCACCTATCCATCCACCCACCCACCTATCCATCCACCCATCCATCCATCAATAACTGACTAAGCGTCTGCTGTGTACCAGCATCAATGTTCTACATGCCCTCCCTAGGCTTCTTTTCTCTTTGCCTTCCTTGCCTTCCCAAGGGTCAGGGTCTGAGAAGATGAGTAGCAGAAAGATCACAGACCCTAACTCCTAGCTAGAGGACCAAATTGGCTGTGTGACCTTGTGCAAATCCCTGAATGTCTCTGAGCTCAGCGGTCTGACTAGATGTCTTCAGAGGATTTTCTGGCTCTAGCTTTGCTGCCTCTCTGCCTCTGTGCTGAGGCTCAGGCTGTGCAGGCTCCTGGGTTTCTTTCCCTTTTCCTCCCAAGAGCAAAGGGTGAGGCTCTGATTCTGGTCCTACATTTCTGGCGCCACCTAGTGGCCACAAAACTTCATGTTCTATTAGCATAGAAAAATGAAAACATTTTTAGATATTTTAACCAAAGCACACAAAACCAGTATAGTGAGTACCACTCTATGCCAGGAACTTTACAAATGTTATTTATAATGTTATTATTCATTGGCAAATGTCAGCATTATCCCCATTTTACAGATGAGGATCCTGAGGGTTGGAGAGATTGACTTGCCCAAGGCCTCAGAGCTTTGGAGTGGTAGAGCCTTGGTTAGGACCTAGGTCTGCTTGATTCCAAACTTATTGCTGGAGGGCTTAGTGTTCCAAATGTGCTGCCTGTGGCAGGATGTTTGATCAGCTTGTCACAAGTGTGACTTACCTGGGCATTTGCCTGGTCCCGGCTGGAGAGGATCAGGCTCCTTTGGGTTGCTTGGGAGGAGGGTAGGGTTCCCACGCTCTGCTGCAGGTGAGGATCGCCCAGGGGCAGGCCACACCCAGGCCACCCAGGCTGCCCGGTGGAGGAGCTAGGCAGCAGCTGTTTGTAAAGCTCCCCTGGTGATTGATTCTAGCTGGCAGCCCAGTCTGACAACTAATGATGTAGAGCCATGGCCCAGAGTTCCCATGCACGGGCATCACCTTGAAGGTCTTGTCAAAACCCAGACCTGGGCCCCAGCCTGAGTTTCTGATTCAGGAAGTCTGAGAATTAGCATTTCTAACAAGCCTCTTGGGGACACTGATGCTGCTGGTGTGGGGACCCCGCCTTGAGAACCACTGTTCTCAGAGGTTTTAGTCCCTCTGTCACACAGTAAGGGCTGGTGCCCAGTCCTGTCTGTCCTGTCAGGCAGCCCCATGTCTCCACTGGGAAAGGGCTTTATAGTGAGTCCAGCCAGAGCAGGAGAAGAAGGGCCTGCAGCTGGTAGGCTGCGTGGGAGGTGGGAGGCTGTGTCCTGGTGCCACCCGCTGACGAATGTCCTCCTGGCTTCGGTCTTTGTGCTGTATGTGGAGCAGAGCCCTGCACGGAGGACAGGTCCGTTCTCTGTCGGATGGAAATGCAGGAACGCTACTGCTCCATCCCCGGCTACCAGCGGCTGTGCTGTAAGTCCTGTACCAGGAAAGCCTCAGGCCCCGAAGCCAGCCCCGGCCCCAGCCGGGCCTCACCACCGCCCTTCTCCATTCGGGGGAGCCCCTCCCCAGAAGCCATGGCCCCTCCAGATGCTGTGGAACCCACTGTGGAGCCAACGAACTCAGACAACCATCTGCACGGTCGACCTACACAGCTCCCAGGACCCCTGGGCACAAGCTCCCCAGTGACCCAGCACCGCTTTACTCCCCAGAAACTGAGCCCTGGAACATTCCGGGTTACTTCCCCTAGCACCACCCAGTGGCTGCCTCGGGGATGGACCACAGGCGCACCTCTGCCAGCCTCTGAGGGTAAAGGGCAGCTCAGTGGAGACCTGACGCATCCGGGCACCAGCCCTCCTGGCACCAGCCCTCCCGCCACCTCCCCCGTGACATGAACCCTGTCCAGCCCACCCCACCAGTCAAGTTTACACTAGAGACCCACAGCTCAGAGGACATGCAGCAGGCCAGTGGCAAGCACAGACTTCCTTTTAAATTATTTGTCTTCTTGTTCTAGTTATGGGCTGTGATACTTCTAACCCATGAGAAGGGTGTGTGAGGAAGAAAAAAATATCAGGGAAAGCCCTAACCTGAGATACCTCAGCAAGCAGCCCAGGTGACCGAGATGAACCTCTCAGATGCTCCCATCTGTCTCCCCTGCCAGGACCAAGGGCCTGCTAATGCCCTGTCCTTACAGCCACTGATGCGTGCCTTTCCAGAACTGTGGGGCCCTGCGGAGGCCCTGTCAACTGGCCCATGTGCCCAGTGACAGGGGGTCCATAGGGCAGGCAGTCAGAGAGGAAGGGAGCTGGGGTGAGTGTGGTCGTGAGGCTCCAGCTGCAGTGCTGGGGCGGATGGGAGGCGAGTTCATCTCAGGCCCAGCGCATTGTAGCCAGAGCTCCATTCAGCTCTTCCAGCCAAGGCCACGACGATGTGGAGCCCAGCTCACTGGCGCTGGCTGGAGGGCACTGCCGGTGGCCACCTCTGCCCAGCAGACAGCCTCACTCAAGCTCACCCAAGAAGAGGACTCTGAGCACTCTAGAACGTGTCTTCCTCATCCAGAGGTTTCCCGGCTGGTGCTAGAGGTCTGGCTAGGCCAGAAATGGCAACTTTGTCTTCACTCTGGGACGCCAGGGAGACGGCCTGGAAGGGGACTTTGTGGGCCACAGAGGGAGATGTGAGTTCTCAGGCTGTGCCCTGTCAATCATTGCCCTTTTACCAAAGACCACTCCTGCTGGAGTTAGGGGTCTGCTCCCCGCACTGGCTCCAGCTGGGCCAGAGGGTTGTGGTGCTATTGGGGGGTGGGGTTCAGGCCCCAAGGCTGAGATCCAGAGTCTACTCATAGCTGGGCCCTGGAGATGACAGGGGCCACCCAGGGCCAGATATGAGCCTCTGCCCCTTGCCAGGGTGGGGAGTAGACAGGGACCCACAGTGCTATGGTGCTTCAGCCACCCCTATCCTCCAAGGGCAGGTAACCTCCCTAGATACTCCGGCTCTTGGAAGCCACCTAAATACCCAAGGGATCCTTACTCCAAGTCGTGCAGAGGGTCTTTCAGACTCTTCAGCAGGTGATACAGGTGCTTGCTAGTTCTTCCTCCCCCAGGGCAAGGGGCTATTCTGAGCCACGCTGGAGGAATGGGAGCAGGGGGTTGAGTGGAGAAGAGAGCCCTAGATGGGGGCTCCCGCCTGCCTTCTCCCCCTGCCACCTGCCCCTCTCTGGGTGCTGGGCACACACTGAATCATTCCCGAGACCCAGTCTGCCTGTGTTAAGGGCTGTAAACTCTGCGCTTGAAATCCAGATCTTTAAATTTTTATGTATTTATTAACATTGTCCTCAGTGTTTTTTTTGGACTCCAAAATGTTGTGTTGTGGTTTTTTCTGTGTTGTAGAGGACAGGGGCAGTGAAGGCAGAGCTCCAGCATGCCGGGCTGGGCTGCAGCAAGATGATTGGGGGTGGGGGCTGGACGGAGAAATGCTGGAGGCACAGGAGACTTGACCTGCGGCCTCCCTGCCTTGGCCTCACTGGCTCGGGGCTCCTCTGAGCATCAGTGCAGGGTGGAGAGGCGAGGACAGGGCTAGGGGCCCACTCAGGCTTCTCGGCTGAGTAGCTGTGTGGCCTCGGGCGAGTCACCATCCAGAATTTGGTCTGGGAGGTAGTTTTGGGGTCTACATATCGAGGAACATTCTAATTAGCAAAGCTGTTCAAACATGCAAGGGTGACTTCCTTAGAAGGTAGTGAGTGCTCTCTCCCTGAAAAAGTCAGAATGGAGTGTGGGTGCCGGCCAGGGGGCGGAAGGAATGGGATGTATCTCATTGGGCAGGGAGGGCTGATATGAAACACACAGCTGTACAACTTAAAAGTGCCAACCCACACCTAACCCCTGCGGTGTCAGACATCACTAATCCATCACCGAGTGTATGGATTAGTGTGTCACAGGCTCCTCCCTAATATTGTGGGGCCAGGACATGGGCCCAGAGAACACCTCCAGGGACCTCACATGCCTCTGGGGGCATTGTAGCCCTCAAGTTCAAGCTCCATTTACATCTCCCTGCCAACCACCTCCCCTTGGGAACTACCCCCTTTAAGCAGCTACCACTTGGGCCTAGAGGTGCACACCCGGTAACCCAGTCACACCTTCGGGGGACTGACCTGGCAGATGCCAGCGCAGGCCCTGGAATTGCATTCAGGATTGTTCAGGCCCAGTGCGGGCTAGGCACCCAGGAGGAGCTCACAAAGAGGGCTCCCTCACAGAGCGACTGTGGGCCCCAGGTGGGGCAGCGCAGTCCTTGCCATGGCAGGTGGGGTGGGCCCTCTGAAAGCCCCGGCATCCCGGCTCTAACAGGGGCTTCGGTGCACTGCGTGGGGCAGGACTTCCAGGGAAAACACGCACTCTGTCCCCTCCCCCACGGCCCGAGTAACAGTACACTGGAAACGATATTCCCATCCTGAGATCTGTCAAGCCACATCTTCATTTTTTAAATTTTAATCCTCACCCGAGGATGTGTTTGTTGATTTGAGAGAGAGAGAGAGAAACATTGATCCCCGACCAGGGATCGAACTGGAGACCTAGATATGATCCCTGACCAGGAATCAAACCCACAGACTTTGGTGTGTGGGGTGATGCTCCAACCAGCTGAGCCAATGGCCAGGCCGCATCTTCATTTTCAGTGGCACATAGTACCCATTGCATGGCTAAGTGACCATTTACTTCACCAAAATCCCCTGGTACTGTGGTTTTAGGTTGTCTCCAAATTTTGGCATCATAAAAAATGACGCGAGGTAGAACTTTTAATTTTTACCTGATTTTCCTTAAGAGAGCCTTCCAGAAGTGAAATGGAGTGGGAAGTGCACCAAAACCACATTTCACAGACACTTCGTATACATTCCCCAATTGCCTCCAGAAAAGTTGTTCAGACTTTAGTCTCTCCAACGGGATAATAGGACTATCAGCCAAATCTTAGAAATTGTGGTTTTCATCATCTTCTCTCAAAACATTCACAAGAAGTCTTGGGGGTTAAAACAGACGACAGACATCACCAGAACTTCTGGCTTTGCTGTCTGCATGGGAGGAATTGGCACTCTCGGTGATGTCCCCAGGAGCCTAGGATATGTGAGGGGCCTTCGGAATCACCTCAGCTGGCCATCTCGTTAAGTGGTCCGCAGGGTGCAGGGGCAGAGCACCGGTCTGGGAGGCAGAAGATGCAGGTTCCAGCCCAGCTCTGCACGCCTTTGCGTCTGACCGTCAGCGCCTCACTTCACCTATCATCTGCAAGGTGGGGAAAAAGAAATACCCCAGAGCTCAAGTGGGACTTACCAACAGCCTGAGTTTGGTCCTCTGGCTGCATGCCACCTCTGGTCTGCTGGGCTGGGCCAAGGTGGGCTGGCCAGGACCCTCCCAGAGCTGCTGCACAAACATCTTTGCTTGGGGCCCCTCCCTCCCCTCCTCCTCTTTCCCTCTAGCCTGGGACTCAGAGCTCCAGGTCAGGCTGTTTGAAAGGGCCAGAGCCCTGCAAGGAGAGCCAGCCTTCCCTCTGGCTAGCCTGGCTTGGAGGGGGCCCTGCGAGCAGCCCTGGAAGGAGAGTCTAGGAGAGGGTCCTGGCCTGGAAGCCGGGGCACCTGGGTTCTGGCTGTGTGGCTGAGCGGTCACGGCCACCTCTGTGCCTCGGTTGCTTTGTGATCTCTCTGTGGCACTCCGGGCAACGGTGTGCAGATCATGTGCATGGCCACCCCTCACCAGCTGTAAGTTTCTTAGCCTGGCTTTGCCTCTGTTTCTTCACCTAAAAAAAATGGTGATACTAGTAATATTTAATCTTGTTACGAGACCTGAATGGGAAAATATATACCAAAGGCTAAACATAGTGCCAGGGACACCAAAAGCCTGTAACAACCCTGGCGGGGTGGCTTGGTTGGGACGACGTCTCATACAGCAGAAGGCTGCGGGCTCGATCCCCAGCTGGGGTGCGTGCAGGAGGCAGCTGCCCGATGTTTCTCTCTCACAGCAATATTTCTCTCTCTAGAGGCAGTAAATATATCCTTGGGTGAGGATTAAGAAAAAAAAAACACTTTTTAAAGCTTTTAACAAATGTTAGTGATTTTTATTACAGGGATTCCCAATTAATTCTATAGTTTGAACTTAGAACCTCATTGTCCAAGTAAGAAGAAGGGACCTAAGAGAGCTGACGTGTGACCCGAGGCCCCAAGAGAGGAGGGGCTCCCCCGCCCAAGACAGATAGCTCCCTGGGGCGGGGCCACGTGCCGCAGGGCTGTTCCCTGGCAGGGTGTGGGGACAGGCAGACCCTGGGACACACACACCTGGGGTCCTCGGCCCTTCACCCGAGTGCTGTCCGTGGTGGGCACCGGACGACGGCCCACCTTGCCACCTGGGCAGCTGTGTGCGGGGCCCACCCGATCCTAGAAGAAGTGGCCGGATCTGGGAGAGCTGCTCATCAGCACTATTTCCCCCCTCTCCCGCTGACAGGAAAGAAACACCTAAGCAACCAATACCCGGGGTTAGTTACCTTGGATGCCCAACTGGGCAGAATGGAAGAAACAGAGCTGGGCTACATTGATTTAATACCAGCCCTTAAAAGCTGAACAGCCAGCGACCACAGAGGACAAGCCTGTGGTTCCACAAAACCAAGCGGATTGACGGTGCGGCAAGGAGGCGGGAAGCGCCACTGAACGGAGGGACGGAGGAACGAGGGGTGTCTGTCCCAAGGTCTGGATTTCCACCGAGGGTCAGTCCTGGATCAGTGACTTTCTGAGGCAGGACTAGGGTTAATTGAAGTGAGGGTTAATTGGGGGCCGGGGGGCTGAGGAGAGGCAAGGTTGGTTCAGCAGTTGGGTAACCTCAAGAATAAATCAAAAAGCAGCAGCGCTCTGGGAGTCTGCGAGAAAGCACGTTGCTCAGAGAGGGGTGGTTGCGGCCTCTCACAGCTGCCTCGGACCTTGAGGAAAATGGCCTTTGCTGTGAACCCTGCCGCGTGCGGCCTGGCTGTGTACGTCCCCAGCTGGCCTGATGGGTGGCAGGCCGTGTGTTTTCCAGCCTGAGCTGATTTTCGTGCTTGTATCCCACTCAGGTTTTTACTCGTTCACAACCAAGTCGGCCAAAATTAAAATGCAATTACTATTACAGCATCTTGGTCATTATTTTCATTTCTTTGTGCATATTTCAGGGGCCCAGAGGAAATGGAAATAGCAAGGAATGGGTCACTGCTGTAGAAACCTGGGAGGGCCTCACCCACACCCAGGTGCTTCAGGAAGGTTCACCCAGAGATGCCACAGTTGGGGCCAGACCAAGCGAAGGCTCCAGGAATGGACACCTGTTTTGCTCCCTGAAAGTAGTATAATGATAGCAGTTGGGCAAAGAGGTGGAGGAATCTCACAGGGGGCTCCGCCCCCCAGTCTGGTAGAAAAGGTACTGGGTGTGGGCGTGTCCAGGTGGGCGCTGTAGCCCCTGGTACCTATCTCCCTCCCATCAGGGGTAAAGGGCACCTTAGATGGAGATGGAGGAATTGCTAATATGCATTGCCCCCCCCCCCAGCTATCAGGAAGCATGTGAGCAATAGTGACTCTATATTAATAATCTCCGATGGCAAACAACGGCTTAGGTGGATGGAATGCACAGACTGCTCGGCTGCAAAGAGCAAGCAGAACTTTGAGATCCTTGGACCAACATGGGTGGCGGGCTTTTCTTGCAGGGCCACCCTTGTGGACCTAGGAAAGTCCTAGACAGAATGGAGAGTCCTCATATACAAAACAGGAGTTTTGCTTTTAAAACAAAATTATATCCGAATAGACAGTCCTCCAAAATAGATACATAAATGGCCAATTAGCTCAGGGAAAGGTGTTCAACACCATATGCCATCCGAGAAAGGCGCGTTCAAACTACAATGAACCACTTCACACTCACTAGGATAGCTGGGATTTTAAAAAGACAGATAGTAACAAGCGTTGGCAGGTTGTGGAGAAGCGCCAACCCTCATACACTGCTAGTGGGAATATAAAATTGCACAGTTGCTTTGGAAAACAGTCTAGCCAGCTCTCAAAAAAATTAAACATAGCGTTGTCATGTGGCCCAGCAAATCCACTCTAAGTAGATGCCCCCAAGAACGGAACATACAAGCATTCATACACAATGTTTATAGCAGCACTATTCACAATAGCCAAAAGGTATTGTAGAAATAACCCAGATGTCCGTCAGCTGCAGAATGGATAAACAAAATTGGTATGTCCATATTATGAAATATTGTTTGGCTCTAAAAAGAATGAAATAGTAATACATGCTACCACCACCTGGATAAACCTTGAACACATTTTGCTGAACGAAAGATGCCATTCG